CTGCTTCTCCCTCTGCCTATGTCTCTGCCTTTCTCTCTCTCTGTGTGACTATCATAAATAAATAAAAATTTTTTAAAAAATGAAAAAAGAATACACTTTTACAGATAGAGCTTTGTAGAATTTTAAGACTAAGAAATGTCCACGTATATTAGTATTGATTCTGTGACATACATAAACTACAGAAAAGGATGAACACAGCTAAAGTGGTTCAAATTGCTATGATTCCACTTAACTGTCAAACATAACAGCCATCTTTTTGATTCATGGCTTGCACCTTTTATTAGATTGTTGGTAGCATTTTACAACAATTGTTACATAATTTCATTAACAACATGTATTATTCTTATCTTAAATTCTTTTGAAATATGTAGCTCCTGTGAGTGACATTTGTTTCTGGGTGAGCAACAAAGCAAGGGGCACGGTAATTTGTCAAATTTTTAAGTGCCCTCCATTATAACTATCAGAATTTTCTCACTAAATTGAATTCCAGGAATCACTGTAAGCTAAGATGGTGAATGCTGAAAATCTCTGAAGAGTGACATGAGAGATAAATTTAGATTCTACTCATATCACCACTCATATACAGGCAGTGATATTATAAAATGCCCTGTAAATAACCTGGCATCCCTGTTAGTTTCCACAGACTGAAGCAACCTAAGGCTGATCGTGTTTGCTTTTATGGCTTCAACTAAGCCATTTTTTAAAAGTTAACCTTGAAGAATGAGAAATCAATCCACATTTTGCTTCTCGGATCTTGCTTAAAAAGAGAAAAGCTGACAGTTTTTCAAATCAATAAAATCATGTACATACTAGAATTAAATAGCCCTGCAGTGATAAATAATTTAAAAAGAGTTTTTTAAATCCTCTTAAAAGTATGCAAACAAGAAGAAAGGGCAGCAACTATTATGTATACATGTAGTTCGGTTACTGGCCTAACTTTATCCTTTTAATAGGTTTTAAAGATTACTAATTACTGTATAAATGAATAAATACCTTTGTATTTTCTTGGCAAGTCATACCAAAGCATATCATAGTCCAGAGCTTAGATTACTTACTAAACTAACTTTTTATTTTTGCTTTTTTTTAAATTAATGTTTTCAGTTTTGTTTTAAAGACTTTATATATTTATTTGAGACAGAGAGAGAATGAGGGGAAGGCAGGGGCAGAAGGAGAGGGAGAGGGAGAAGCCGACTCCTTGCTGAGCATGGAGCCCCAACACAGGGCTTGATCCCAGGACCCTGGAATCATGACCTGAGCCAAAGGTAGATGCTTAAACAATTGAGCCACCCAGGTGCCCCTCTATTTTCCCTTCTATTTTAAGACCTTTCTTAGCCATATGATGCCAATTTAATTTTTCTGTAGGGAGGCTAATCCTCTGCTATTTTTTGCTAACATAAGATACTCTTCCAATATTTCCATAATATTGTTTCCTCATTGAAAGGTTAATTTTTTGTTACAATTTATTCTGTTATTGGACAAAGAATAAGGCAAAATGATTCAGAAAAATATCTATCTTCTATTTCAATGTGTGTACTACTTCTGAATAACTTCTATTCACACTAACTGGATAGCTTTCAAAAAAAGCATTTCACCAAGTGTTATTTATTTAACATCCATTATGTATATGGCCCTATGGAATGCTGATAGATAGATACATAGATAGATATCTACATTAATTTTAAAAACACACAATTTTGTCCTTAGCAGCTTATACCTTCATAAAGGAAGGTACTACATTTACACAAAAAAACTATAATGATCAGTAAAATGTAAAGAACAAGAAAAGTATCAGTGAAGTACTACAGGAATCCAGAGGAGGAAAAGATCAATTAACAGGGAAACATGAATTTAGCATTGAAAATGAGGCCTCAGGGCAGCCCCAGTGGCACAGCGATTTAGCACCGCCTGCAGCCCAGGGCGTGATCCTGGAGACCCTGGATCGAGTCCCACGTCAGGCTCTCTGTATGGAGCCTGCTTCTCCCTCTGCCTGTGTCTCTATGAATAAATAAATAAAATATTAAAAAAAAAGAAAAAAAGAAAATGAGGCCTCAGACTGGCCTTAATAAAAGGGAAGGGAATAACAGAAGGAAGAAAAGAGAAGAATCATGGCTGATGTATGAGAATCAGTAACTGGGTGAGTCTGGCTAAAGTACAAAAAAGAGAGGAGCAGGAGGGTCTTGGAAGATAAGTTTCTGCCGACTCCTAGAGGCCTAAACTCGAGGCTAAAATTTTAACTTTGTTAACTGAGGAACAAAGACATAGGTAACTACACAAAATAAAGTCAATAGTAATAAGCAAAGCTCTGGGCTTGTTTTGTCCTTTTTGTGGAGAACTGGTGAGGTGAAAAGGGGAAAAATCCTGTATTTACTTCAGATATCAGAAATCAGCAAATTTTATCAGGACCATAAGAAAAACACATTGAACACAGAGTGAGCTTTGGTACATGCATCAAAACTAACAAGACAAGAGGGGAGCTGTTCCAAGTCATTTCTAAGTATCCAAAACTCTAGGGGGAAGAGTTAAGAAAGACTATTCTCAATGTCCAATTCTTTGGGAGCCATATAATACACAGCTTCCATTTGTAACAGAAGCCTACAGCCTCCATGAAATCCTCTTATCTCTAAAGACTGCTTTCAGTCTTCAACATAGGGTTTTCCACATAGTTCAGGAATTAAACTTTGTTTCCAAGAGCTAGGTAGCACAGCAGGGTGAATGGGCACTCAGAATTCAAATGTGCCTGTTCCTAACCTTTATATTTAGACTACCACTAACATTGTGCTGATCTTATGAGGCCCCCTAGTGTTCACAACGTAGAATGTTATAATCCAACACTAACCCCAAGAAAACCCTTCAGTGTAAATCAACTATAATTTAAAATAAAATAATAATTAATAATAATAATAATAATAATTTTTTAACTAACACACATTATTTTCCCCAGAAGTTGATTTATCTTCTGGAATCTCAATACTGAGCCTATATCATTATAACAATTGTTATATTTATTAGGATAACATTCTTCAATGGCATTCTCTTTCTTACTTTCTTATGACTAGAACTTCAACTGAGGAGACACCCGTTGTGCTATTTAACAAGCAGCTGGGCAATATGTTACAAATGACTTCGTGGTAATTTGAATACCCAAGTTTACAAATAATATACCCTTCCTGATTATTTATGTAAGGCAACCCATTCAGAACCACTACCAACCTTCCAGTCCCATCCCCACCCCACCCTCAATGTTCCTGGCAAGACCCATAGAATAAGAATAGGTAGAAACCCTTCACAATCTTCTTTCCCCTTCATTTCTCTCCACTCCTCCTCACAGGGGAGAGACTTGTCTACTTGATAAGACTAGGGAAAGAGGCACTAACCATGCCTAACTCATTCCCTTTGTCTTTTGGGATCCAGCCTATTGATGACAGTCTCCCTTCCTCAACACAGGTAGCAGCCCATTTCTATGGGGAGATGAGGCCTACAAGTCATCCAGCTGCCTGCCTGAGTGGGTGAATTAATTAATTAATTGAGTAGGAGAAAAATATTAAGTCACATTCTCTAATACTAGCCACATTTCAATCCCTGACTTCAGTATGAATTTCTAAATTGTATAAGAGAGGGGAAAAGTATGACCAGTTACCACCCCAACAATAATTTAAAGCAGATTATCCCCTTACTGATATAACTCATTTTCTGTGCCTTATTTATCTGGAAGAGAAAAGAATCAAACATTACCCTGAATATACTCGTACATACAGCTTTCCTTGTATATTTCATAACAATGAAAACCCAAAATCACTATGAACAAGATCTTATTACATTTAGGCCATTAATCATTTATTGTCTTCTACCTTGCTTCAAGTGGACATATCTTATTTCTAAATGAGAACAATTTTCCTTGGACATCAAATTTTATTCACTTACTGTTTTTATGCCACTCAATAACTTAAGGTAATTTTATATACTAAATGAAGCTTCCCTTAACAAGTGATTGCCTTTGTTAGGTTAAAACCCTTTCTTTAGTTCAAAAACATATATCTGAGACCTACTTCTTCAAACCAAATGTACTTTAGACTTCTTTTAAAGAATACCATAAATCTGTATAGAATCCACGAAATATATGAGGATATATGAATAAATGTTTGCTTCTGGCTTAGCTTATAAACTTTCTTTTTTTTTTTTTTGTCAAAGTATTCTTTTGGTTTCTTTTCTTTTCTTTTCTTTGGCATCTAAAAAAAATAGAACCATAGCCAACTTTTAGCACTAAACCGATGCTCACAAATCATATTCATTTACATTGATAAGAATCCCAAAGTATAAATTTGTGTTAAATAATTGTGTTAAAACAATTCATTAGATTCTATATTCTATATATAATCTATCAATATTATCTGGAATTTTATGTGTGTGTGTGTATATATATATATAGAGAGAGAGAAAGAGAGAGAATATGTTGGAGACATCACAACTTCACACAACATTCAGGCTAATTTTCACGGTGACTTTTTTGTTGCTGTTAATTGCCATGTTGATTTCTGAAGGAGGGACAATCACCAAATTTCAAGCACTGCTATACCCTTATGTTCTGGGACAGTAGTACAATGCATATATCAGAACACCATAGGTTAACTCCTCACTGCCTACATACTTAGCAAAAGGACAGAATTCATAGAATATCAGACCTGTGTTCAACCTTCCTACCAGTAGTGGGTAACACACATAATCTCCATGATCCTCAGTTTTCTCATTTGAAATTAGAGATGATCTTATCTTACCATATTTTATAGAGTTTTAAACTCAAGAGGAAAAAAAATGGGAGAAAAAAATATATGAGAACCACAACACATAGTAGGTATACAGCAACTGGAAGTTACTGTTCTAATCAGTCTCCACCACAGTTCTGCTACAGATGAAGGCCACAAGGGATTCCTAGCAGCGTTGCAACAATATTCATTTAATGAGACTCTGAGTAGCACATTATATTTAATTTCAAGTCAACTTACCAAGACAGAAGTACAAACCCTGACTTATCCAGGCTAATATGGCGAGAGTTATGAGGTCGCCAAAACTAGCAGCAATGGGAGTAGCAACGTTATCAGGATTTATGCCGGTCTTCTTTGAACCAACGATAACCCCAACCATGATTATTCCTGGAAGAAAGAAAAACTCATTACTTTCTATGCTATGATTTAGAGAAAATCAATCCCCTAAATACTGAAATATAAAGGCTAGACAAACAGCACATCAGTTCCAGTTAGAATGCTTAGATAAGCTGACTTAAAGCAAACAAAACATTTTACTCTAATGCTTTGCCAAAATGCCTTTTGACAAATTCCAAGTAGGGATCATAGAAGATCTGAGAAGTTCAATTTTGCATTTAGAGACCTGACAAGCTACTATAAAATAATGTTAAAGTTTCAAATTTAATAACATGTATGTCTCAGATGTAACATATATGTGTATATCAAAACCAAAGATTTTATTTTAACCTTCAAATAAGGTATGAAAATGTCAAAGAAAGGTAAGTCATATTTATAGGCACAGCAACTGGGAAGAAGACCAAAAAGCCAGATCTGTCTACATGGTGGTAGTCAGAATGCTTGCTTCTTTCTATAATCTAGAAGTCTTGAAGCATTAAGAAGGAGGAAGTAATCAAAATTTGAACACTGGAGGCCAGAACACAAAAAGCAATCTCTGTAAAGGATATTCTTTTTTAAGATTTATTTATTTACTTACTTATTTAGAGAGAGTGAACACAAAAGGGAGGGGCAGAGGGAGAAAGGAGAGAGAATCTCAAGCAGACTCCCCGCAGAGTGCAGAGGCCAACACGGGGCTCTATCTCACGACCCTGAGATCATGACCTGAGCCGAAAGCAAGAGTCAGACACTTAACCAACTGTGTCACTCAGTGCCCCTATAGGATATTCTTTAAAACCAAAGTTTCTATCTATTGAACTTCCATCCAGAGAACAAATGATGAAAATATGACTATGTACTTGTACTCCTAAATATTTTCTTGAATCACAGAAATGGGGAGGGAGGATGATAACATATATCCATACCCAGTTGTATGTATACATTTTCTCATGCCCACAGTTAGAGGATGCGGTACAAAGACTATTTAAGATTAGTGCACTTATGTGCTAACCATAAACCAGTATGGAGGCCTAAATATGGTTAGAGGGAAAATATCCAACGGAATCTCACTGCATATTTAGACTGAAAATGACTGAAAATGATTTTATTCCAGCATACTCATTTTATAGATAATAAAACTGAGGTCCTGAGAATAGGCTGTAAGTTCCTGCTCAGGGTCACAGAACTTGTAAATAATTCTAGCCCATGTTTTCTACCACCCCCTAAAGCCAAAATTATTAAAAATAGACTTTTTGTCTTATTTCAAATAAAGTCTCACTTCTTATATTCCGGAGACATTTTCAATCTATAGATTTAACTTTCCCATAAACTGTTGTAAAAAAAAAAAATAGAAAAAAGTTTAAATGTATTATGTAATAATAGAGATGTAATCATATACAATTCTTTTTTGAAAGTTAGCACATTTAAAGATTGATATGGAAAGTTCTCCTAGGACAGAGTGCCATCCATATCTTTTCAGCTGAAAACAAGTATTTTGCCAGCATGAACCAGTGGAAAGAGTTGGGAGTCAGGAAACAGGCTTTAATTCTGATTTTCTGCAAACAAGCCGATAAAACTGGACAAGTCACCTTACCTGAGTCAGTTTTCTCACCTATAAAAGGTGGTCTAGTAGTATCTGATCTCCATATATAAAAATCAAGCTATCATAAAATTAGAATACACATTATTCAAAGTAAGAAGCCTTAAGCAAATGTATTTTAAAAGTCTGAATTCTTACAATTTTTGAAAATCCTAGGCAACAAAATAGTTTTTACTAAAAATTTATAGTTCTTTTCAAATGAAACAAGATTAGATAGAAAACAGAAGCAAATGAACTTAAAAGAAAAAGAAGCTAATGCTTTAACTTTTTTTTATTTTTTTTACCAGAAATTAATTTCCCAGTAGCTTAACTTCACACCCTGCTTTGGCCAGTGTTAACTCTGCTGAATTCTAGTAATTCTATACATTGACAAGAAACTATCCCTAATGTAATTTAAGTACCAAAACAAAATGCTTGAAAATATTTTGGAAGTCAAGTCTTAATTTTAATAAGACTCTCTAAATTCCTCAACCTACCCAAAAATTTGGCTTAACATTGATATAATCAACTGATGTGAGAATTTTCTATTTTTTACCTTGCTAGTGATATAAGGGTAAGAAGATGGCAATAATAAAATAAAAAGAACCAAGTCTTCACAATTATGATTTAATAATAAGCTAGTTCTCTAGTGCTATGCTCTTAATAAATAAATATAAAGAATGATATTCCAAATGAAAAATTCCAATGTAGTTAATTTTTTTTAATTTTTTATTTATTTATGATAGTCACAGAGAGAGAGAGAGAGAGAGAGAGAGAGAGAGAGGCAGAGACATAGGCAGAGGGAGAAGCAGGCTCCATGCACCGGGAGCCCGACGTGGGATTCGATCCCGGGTCTCCAGGATCGCGCCCTGGGCCAAAGGCAGGCGCTAAACCGCTGCGCCACCCAGGGATCCCCAATGTGGTTAATTTTTAAAACCTTTCAGCTCTTTAAAAGTCTACAGCCAGCAATATGCTGTGTTGAGCATATGGTTATATTTGTATTGCCACAGAAGCAGTGAAGATATTTTTTTGAAACCTGAAACTTTAAAAAATTTTAACAGAGGGACTGCTTTTAAAATTCAGAATTCCTAGAAACCTTGTTACTCAAATGACAAGCCAGCAAATCCTCTGCATGATTTCCAGAAAGAGTTTTTCAATTAATTTAATTTACAGAAACTAATGAATGTCTAGACTATTTTCCTGATCTCATTAGGAACTCTACCAGAGTACCTAAGGCCAGGAGACAACCTCAGAAAGCCTGGTCTATACTAGGCTTATACATAACAAATATAGGTATATCTGAAATAAGATATTTTAAAAGCTTGTAGATAAATTTTCTCTTCCTCCCGCATTCTTGGTGGGAATGCAGGCTGGTGTGGCCACTGTGGAGAACAGTATGGAGGTTCCTCAGAAAGTTAAAAATAGAACTACCCTACAATCCAGCAATTACATTACTAGGTTATTTACCCAAAGAATACAAAAATTATAATTCAAAGGGATCCATGAACCCCAATGTTTACAGCAGCATTATCTACAATAGCCAAACTATGGAAAGAGCCCAAGTGTTCATCAACTGATGAACAGATAAAGAAGATGTATATATATACACAATGAATATTACTAAGCCATAAAAAGAATGAAATTTTGCCATTTGCAATGACATGGATGGAGAATATTATGCTAAGTGAAATAAGTCAGAGAAAGACAAATACTATATGATTCCAGTCATATGGAGAATTTAAGAGACAAACAAGCATAGGGAAAAGAGAGAGAGGCAAACCAAGAAACAGACCCTTAACTATAGAGAACAAACCAGTAACTACCAGAATGTAGGTGAATGGGGGGTAATGGTGAAACAGGTGAGGGGATTAAGAGCACACTTATCTTGATGAGCACTGAGTCATATATGGAAGTGTTGAATACTGTGCATCTAAAAGGAATAGGTTACATTGTATGTTACATTGTATGTTAACTAAGTGGAATTTAAATAAGAACTTAAAAAATTTGTCTGTTGATCTTATAATGAAGAAGTATCGTTTTAATAAAAATAGTCAACATGGAAAATAAATTATTTGAAAGTGAAAGACTGTAGAGTAGACATTTATAAATCTACTTACCCTGTAGAAGAGATGCAATGAAAGCAGTTGCTACGCTGCTAGAGCACAAAAGTATGGAATGGTCAAGATAGTATTTCCCCTCTGGAATCCAGCCCAGTATAATTGCTGCCACAGCCGCTAGAAAACCAACCACTGTTGCTTGAACCTAAAAAGTTTTTTAAAAAATCCAACTGAATTATTCATTTCAAAAACAATTTTTACTTGGTTATGTAAATATGCATATCAAAAGTCAGAAGAAAGTAGTGCCTATGGTCATTGAGCTGCATTACCTTTTGAAGAAGCCACTCTAATTTAGTGTTAATATTCCCTAAGGTGGTGAGTTCTCAAACTGCCATGATCTGGTGCCAGTGGGTATGGAATGGGGCCCAGGAATCTGTTTTTATCAAGCACCCCAAGTGACTTTGATGGTGTAACCCACAGATTGTCTAAGAAGATACCAACCTTAAGACTGAAAGGTACCCAAATCCATACAACTGAAGTCTGACTCCAGAGGCAGTACTCATAAGAGACTGGGTTTTATAAACAAATGATAAGCTTTTGACTCCTTGCTCCTATATCACCTAATCTTGTGGCAAGTTAAATTTATTCATTTAACAAGTACTTATTTAGAATCTACTATGTACAAGGTGCTTGGTCTTGGCCACACAGTGGTCAAAATAGATTCATTCCCTGTTCTCCCCCAGCTCTTGGTGGGTAGGTGGGAAAGACATTAAAAAGTAATGTCATGAATAACCACAACCATAATCTGCAAAGTAACAACAATAATAGCAAATTTGAAAATTGAGATTTAAATGAGTTACATAACTATAAAAGTGCTTCCCACAGTGCTGGCACAAAGCAACCCAGCAACTAAGAGTATAACACTGACTGAACTCTTAGAATCCTATTAAGTAGAATGTGAGAACTAAAGAAGCCCTAGGGGAATCCAATTCACAGATTCCTAATTGTGCTTGTGTGCTAGACTCCTTTGACAGTCTGGCAAAAATTTTGTGAAGATTGTTTTCTCTATGAAAACACAGATGCATTCAATATTTGAGAAGAATTTCTAGGTGCTCATTGACTCTCAGAAGGCAATCCATGTACTAGAATCCAGAGCCATCTCTGGCTCCCATCCTGACCAACAGCTGTAGGGAGGAAGGATACAGGAGAAGGGTACAGACGAAAAGTGGAAGGAAAAATTAAAATCTGAGATGGAAGCTATTAGAATGATGTGATGAATAATTTACAGCACTACTCATATTACTTGGTAGGAGTTTAGAATATTTAAAGAATAAAATGGAGTATATTTTCAAATTTTAATTTATATATTAACTTATAGTAGCCTACTTGTTAAATATTTTATTACTCTCGTGTAGGTTCCTACAATTTCAAGCTGGGAAGCAACATACACATCTCTAATGCAATATGTGATTTAAAAGAATGGGGCAGGGAATCCCTGGGTGGCTCGGCGATTTGGCGCCTGCCTTTGGCCCAGGGCGCGGTCCTGGAGTCCCAGTATCGAGTGGGGCCTGCTTCTCCCTCTGCCTGTGTCTCTGCCTCTCTCTCTCTCTCTCTGTGTGTCTATCATGAATAAATAAATAAATAAATCTTTTAAAAAAATAAAAGAATGGGGCAAAGAAGCCTAGAAAAGTTAAGAAAATTAACAAAATTTATACAGCTGGTTAATGTTACAGCTGAGATTAAATCCCAGATTTTCTTATATCTAAACTGTGATTTTATTTTATTATTATTTTTAAGATTTTATTTATTTATTCATGAGAGACACAGAGAAAGAGAGAAAGGCAGAGAGACACAGGCAGAGGGAGAAGCAGGCTCCGTGCAGGGAGCTCAACACGGAACTTGATCCCGGGACTCCAGTATCACACCCTGGGCTGAAGGCAGATGCTTAACTGCTGAGCCACCCAGGGATCCCCTAAACTGTGATTTTAGAGACAGCTGCATGGATTTTTTTTAAAGCCCAAGTTCCAAAAATTATTTTATTTCTAGATCTTTGAAATATATTATATGAAATTACTTTTCTGCAACCATGTTTCTCAACATGATGTCCTAATTGAGGTTACTTTAAAATTAGTAAGTGTTCCTTAGGCCCCCTTGCTGGAGAGTTACTAGGGGGTTGCATCCCTCTTGGGCATCATAGGAAAGAGCTGAGGAGGCAGACATTCATCTGAGATCAGAAGGAGCTGTAGATAATCTATATATAATCCACGATTTAGTAACTGACAATCTATGTCTATGTAACTGACAGTCTAATGTGCTCCTTTACATGAATGAACACTAGTAACCGTAACAAAGAAAACTTCAGTTTATATAAACATAAGATCACAATATATAAATGTTTACTTTAATTAAAGATTTACTTTAGAAAAATCAAAGTAGAAAAATAGCACCTAATTGATGAAATGCTAAATATTTATTTGTATATATTAACTCAAATACTCACATTCTTGCTCTATAACACATGATAAAAAAATTTATATAGTTTTCTATATTCTATCATGTATTTTTCAGATTTGGAAGAACCTGATCAATTTCTAGAGAAAGAAAACTTTCTAGAGGTCAGAAATGCACTAAAATTTAATTATTACTCTTATAGGTAAAACCAAGATGTATAAACCCAAGATCTGTAAACAAAATGTGTATCACGTACCTGCTTTAAAGCCAAGTTGCCAATTATTAGGTTCCACTTTTCAATAGGTGAATCCATCTTCCCAATATTTACCTGTTAAGACAGATATTTTCATCATGCATCACTAATCTATGTTTTTACTCCATTTAAACAAGCATCTGAAGTCCTAAAGCCAAAGATAATTCTTTAGTAAAACTGATGAATTCACGCTGTACTTTAAATATAATCCTGAACTCACTACCAGTTTCGTATCTCACATTTAGCTCGCTCAAGATGTTTAGAAAAAAAATAAATATATATAAATATTCTTTAAATGTTTATTTTTAAGCATAAATATATACATATCAAATGTGTATATATATGTACATATATATGTGTGTGTGTGTGTGTGTGTTTAAAATTTAATACTAGCTCACAAGAACTAGCAGACCAGTTAGGACAATCCACTTGCTCATTGTTTACAATTACCATCATCAACGTTATCCTAAAATGCCATATTTTGTGTACTGAGTCTCAATATAAATAATTACATAATTTTGAACTGCTAGTATTTTATTCCACATCATAAAACTAATGTAATTTGAAGAATTAGTGAGCAGAAAACCCAGGATTAAACAAATCGTTTATATGTACATGATTTATATTTGAGTCAAGACTAAGATTGTTAGCAATAAAAAATTCATTCAGTTCACATAAGTTTTGATCGTGAATCTATTACAATTTATACATCTTTCTGCTAAACAGAAGAATACTCTCCAAAAAAATTATTCAATTGCTCTATAAGCAAAATTATTATTTCTCAACCATTTAGGATTTAAAACATGTATATCCAAATCTGTTGAGTTTTTCTAGCAGTGAACACTTTATTAATATAAAACATACTGAGCTGGGTTTCAATTATTCATGATCTGCTTGGTCATGAAAGTTAAGTGAACGGGTAAAGTGAGAAGTACATAACGGTTGCTATTTATTGGTAGTTTATGGACAGATTAGAGTTTAGCTCACTGGCTTCAGACTAGCAGATTACTTGCTACATCAACATTTCCACTATCAATTTGGAAAACAGAATTCTTTTTTTTTTTTTTTTTGGAAAACAGAATTCTTGAACCTCCCTCTGGGCTCTAGTCTCAAAGTCTCTCTAGTCTCAAAGCACCCAGCAATGCAAATATTAAGATCTCTCGGTTTTTCAATATAATTATTCATGCTGTCTTTATTTGCAGATTTCTTCCCTAAGCCTGGAAATCTACATTATTCATGAAATTTGTGTTTGTAGCTCTAACAACCTGAATCTTTGCTTCTGTGAGTAATAAGGTACAAGCAATGTTTAAAGAGTAAATCTACTTCAGGTTTAGTGTTCAAGAAATAGGCATGAGTTATTTTTAATAACTTTTAGAAAGAGGTCTATAGGTATAGGAAGCAAACTAAAATGATTCCATGAAAAAGCATAAGACTTCAAGACTCCAGAATAAATTGATGATCAGTAGAGGTGGACCACACATATACTAAGGTCTAGGAGAAAGTGAAGAAAAGTGAGTCACAGAATGAATGCTATGAATTAGGTAGGCTAACTTCACCGGATTCACTTGGTACCACTGCCACGAGACCCTTCAAAAGCCTGGAACTAACTACTTTTCTCAAAATCCTCTTCCTTAGAGCTGCTGGTTAGTCTGCCAGTGACAGGAACTTGCCTAAGATTTGAAAGGCAGAAAGGAAGGAGATGCCATTATTTCTGTAAGGTCCTGGTAGCAGATATAGTAGGCATCCAGAGGTCTACACTGCAATGCACCCATGGCTTTCTTCCTCTGCTGCAGTGCTTCAGGCTATTTCTCTGTCTACTCCCACCAGAAATCTTTACTTCTCCCACATTTGGGTAAGCCCAAATTGTTTTATTAAATTCTTTATTGCCACAATATATACTACGGCAGTTCTACTGACGAAAACCATAGTGATAGAATAACATCACACTACTCATTTAATCTGTGTTATAACTGATAATCACAATTTCTTAAGTCCCTTCCAGATCCATATGTCTCTGAATCTAGAGTCCTTTTATTCTAACATGAATAATAAATAGCAAGTTAATGTATGATGTGAAATAAAACATATTTCACATTTATGACATATAATTTATGTATAAATTCACAATGTATTATATGAAATAAACACAAAGTAGAATATATTGACAAATAATAATCACTTTTTATATAAAGCAAAGATTTTTAGAAGCAAGGATTTTTAAAAGAGAAAAATGTTGATCTAAATGTAACTACTTAGAGAAAATACTCACAGTATGGGCATGCATTGGGGATGGAAGGGGGAATCTGGCAGAATTCAGAAAACTGACCTTTGTTGCCTCCATACTGTAAAAACTGAAACAAGAATTGGGCAGACCTACCATACTAGCCAGTGGCCTAGGATTAATATGAACCATTTAAATTTTTCCAGAGTTGAGAGGAAGAAGAATGAATGTTCTATGTAAAGACCTTTGCTAGAACTACTTCTATTAGATTAACTGACCAGATGGTACTCAGCTAGAAAAACTAAGAACTTGGAAGGTGACAAAGTATAGTGGGATATGATCTGATAAAGACTTCTACATGACCCAGATTAATTCATTTATTTTAAAGTACTAGAAAAAAATAAAGTACTAGAAAAATAGACCAATATTTTTGTAGACACTAGCTAGTTTTTAAGGAAAGAGTAGAGCTGAGGTGGCCAGGGCCTGAAGATGTGTTATGTTTTAGTCAACACAGTGGTTTTAATTTTTTGAATCTAAATGCCTTAGGTTGGGTCTGTAGTCTCTACTTTTTATAATCTCTACACCCCTCTTCTTCATAGAAGTATATGTTACTTATCTGACCCTGAAGCACAGGCGTTAAGGACAGGCTTTAAGATTTATTAGAACTAAAGATAACAGTGGGTTGGAATGACCTTGAAATTATAGATTTAGGGATCCCTGGGTGGCACAGCGGTTTGGCGCCTGCCTTTGGCCCAGGGTGCCATCCTGGAGACCCAGGATCGAATCCCACATTGGGCTCCCGGTGCATGGAGCCTGCTTCTCCCTCTGCCTATGTCTCTGCCTCTCTCTCTCTCTCTGTATGACTATCATAAATAAATAAAAATAATAAAAAAAGAAATTATAGATTTACTAATACAGTTACTATAATTGATTTTAGAAAAATACATTTAATATGTAAATACTTGAAACAAGGGTACTGAAAGTCTCCACGAAACCATTAGTCTTTATATATATATGTCTGTGTGTGTGTGTGTATACACACACACATAGGCACCTGGGGGGTTCAGTGGCTTAAGCATCTGCCTTTGGCTCAGGTCATGATCCCTGTGTCCTGGGATCAAGTCCCATGTTGGACTCCCCACTCAGGAGGGAGTCTGCTTCTCCTTCTCCTCTGCCTCTCCCCCTCTGCCCATGCTCTCTCTCTAATAAATAAAATCTTTTTTTTTAATTTTTATTTATTTATGATAGTCACAGAGAGAGAGAGAGAGGCAGAGACACAGGCAGAGGGAGAAGCAGGCTCCATGCACTGGGAGCCCGATGTGGGATTCGATCCCGGGTCTCCAGGATTGCGCCCTGGGCCAAAGGCAGGCACCAAACCGCTGCGCCACCCAGGGATCCCCAATAAATAAAATCTTTAAAAAAAATATATATATATATATATAATTAAGTATGTGCTCCAAAAAAAGGTATATAAAAAATAAACCAGAATGTTAACCATTTTTATTTCTGAATGATGGGTTTGTGGATAATTTTTATTTTCTTCTTTGTTCATTAGTAAATTTTTCAAATTTTCATCACTCAATATGTATTACTGCTATAATCAGAAATTTTATTTAAAAACACATAATTGGTAAATTTAAAAATTTGACAACTAGAAAAGGTAACAGTCTCAACTTTTTGTCTGAACATGGGTTCTACAATATAAATGACATTAAAACTCACAGAGTATTCAGATGAAAGCCATAATAGAAACTAAGACTACCCTAAGTAGAGACCCAACCTAAGGCATATAGATTAAAAAAATATGAGGTCCGACTTTAGTCGGACTGGAAGCTGACTAAAGAATGGCTTTTACATAGTAAGACACTAAACATTTGGAAAAGAACGAGAGGAAGAATTGAAAAGGGAGAAGGAATAAAAGGAAAAGAAATGGGAAGGGAGGGGGAAAGTTTTATTCCTATTTAGAAAAGAACTAGAGAAGTAAGCACAAAATCTTTGAGTGCTAGCCACTGAATACTGGTACAGTTTTCCTAGAGGCTGTAAAATTCTTCTGAAGTTTTAAAACAAGTAGATTCTCATCTATCTAGAGGGATATACTGTCAATCTTGCCCCAAGTATGAAGATTTGACTAAATGACTTCTTTTATGAAAAGCAAAAATCAAATAATAGAAATATGCAAAAAGTTCTGTAAAATGTTATTAAAGTGATACTTCATGGGTAGTTATGATGTTAAACTTTATTACATAAAAGCAATATACACAGGGGTGCCTGGGTGGATCAGTCTGTCACCAACCTCTGACTGGTGATTTCAACTCAAGTCATGAACTCATGGGTTGTGAGATGGAATCTCATGTGAGGTTCTGTGCTCAGTGTGGAGTCTGCTCAAGATTCTCCCTCTCCCTCTGCCCTCCCCCAACTCATGCATGCAGCTCTCTAATCAATCAACCTTTTTAAAAATCAATATGCATAAAAACATCAGGTAAAATGGCAGAATACCATAAACGTGGAATATAAAAGGAATATGGAAACAGCTTAAAAATTCTAAAATCACTAAATACTATCCCTCACTAAAAGAAACCAGGCCTCCATAGAGAAATGGCTGATTTCAGGTCTGGGACAAGGAAAACATAAGATGACCCTGGAATATCTTGTTGTACCAGAAAGTAACAAAATGCTGAAAAATAATGGAGGCACACCAAAAGGACAGAGGAACCAGGGGTGCCTGGGTGGCTCAGTTGGTTAAGTGTTCAACTCTTGATTTCGACTCAAGTCGTAATCTCAGGGTCACAATCTCAGAGTCCTGAGATAGTGCCCTGCGTTGGGCTACACACTCCATGTATCCCTCTCCATCTAC